TGCCGGACACGACAAGGGGAAAAAAATCTTTGGTGGGATTTAAAGAAGGCAGTTGCAGCACGGAGGCCATCAAACATCACTGAGCTAGAGGCCTTTGCACGTGAAGAATGGGCAAAGATTCTGATGGAAAGGTGTAAGAAGCTTGTCAGCACTTACAGAGAATGTTTGTTAGAAGTTATAAAAGCTAAAGAATGCTCCACAAAGTACTGAAGCTGGGCGTTGAATAATACTGCACATGCATATGTGTTACAAGAGTTACATTTTTCAAATTCTGTTTGACTCAGATATGTATCAATAAATGTGCAGTCTTGTGCCCTCGTCTGCACAGCACACCAAAGCTGTCCAGATTCTGCTCACTTCAGATAGTATGCTGAGCTGTTTTTTTTTTTTTTTTATTTCTAGCAGTGTTTGGCAACGATATGTCTGCCAGATGTTGGTTTCTTTTGGATTGCAGAGATTTTAGGCAAAAAGACTATATTTAACATTTTGCACTGATTTGCACTGTGTCTGCACAAGCCGCCATCTTGGTTCAACAAGGTGAAGAATGATTGGTCGGTGCACAACTGGAAGTGTTGTCTGCAGAGGTTAGGCTGAAAATGATGGCAGGCCTGGATGACAGCTAGAAGCTCATGGCAGGTCACACAGTAGTTCCTTCAAGGGCAGTTCAGCGTCTGGCTGAAGTAGCTTCTCATCCTGAGGCCTCACCTGGGACAGCACTGCACAAAGACTCTCGTTGCTGGCATTCGTGTCCACAGTGAAAGGGAGCATCAAGTCAGGGTACGTCAGCACTGGGGCCTTGGTTTGCACAGTGGTCAGAAGCCCAATCGAAGAGCTATCCCTCTTCTGAGAGCCGGTGGAGAGGTTTGGTTGTGCTGGAGAAGTCCTTCACAAACTGCTGGTAATCGGAGGCAAGACCCCGGAAGCTGCGGATGACGGTGGAGCTTTGCTGGCTGGTCCAGTCTTTCACCTCCACAATCTTCCCTGGGTCTGCCTACATGCCCTCACCGCTCACGATGTGGCCCAGGCACTCAGTCTTCTGCTGCAGGAGGGAACACTTCTGGGGGTTGAAATTCAGGGCAGCTTGGCAGACGGCAGCGAAGACAGTGATCAGGTTACTAAGCACTCTGTTGTAATCAGCAGCGTGGGCAAGCACATTGTGCAGGACCAAGACCCAGAAGTACCATAGACCCTGACTAATGGTAAACGTGGTCTTGGGTTGGGCATTTGGGGCCAGTTCAACCTGCCAAAAGCCACTTCGAAGGTCTAAGGACCTGAACCGCGTTGACCCAGTGATGTAATCTGGTGCAGTGGTTCTCAAACTTTTCACAAAAAGTACCAGCTCAGAAAATATTTTGCTCTCCAAGTGCCACCATTATGATTGACATTAAAATACAGCAGCATAGACCTTATTATATGTATAAACAAATAGAGTTTACACAATTTTATTCCTAATATGAATAATATTTAGTATTTACTGTAATCCTCTGCCACAATCGAGTGACAACATTAACAACTGTACTGCATTAAAACATTCACAGCGGAGGGGGATATCATCTGTACTGCACTGAAAATTTAGGAATGATCACGTGACAGACACTTTTTCAATTATCTCCACACAGCGACACACAGCGACCGAAGTATCAATAATCACGTAGTTCTCGTTTCTGTTTTTGTTAGAGATAATTAATATTTATATAAAGTAGCCTACGCTGAAAGAAGGCGCCCGAGAGAAATGCCCATACCGAGAAAAGCTTAGAAGCAAAGCGAGGACTCGGTATGAGGAAAAAATATCTTTCATAAACCACCTCGACCCGTATCAGCTGCCCAGGCTGGGATAAAGTCTGGGGCGGTTTGAAATAAATTCTGGATCGACACTGCATTTTAGCAGTGGCAGGGAGATAATTAACCAGTACCTATACTTTTGTTGACTGAGATTTGGTGACATTTTCAAAAGAAAATAGTAGTTTTTGAAACTTTACAAAATATCGGTGAACACTAGCCATGTCTTCCGTAGTCAAACACATAAGTCAGGATATTAGCTTTACTATATTGAGCATATTAAGAATAATAACTACATCGCATTCAAACACACAGCAGCTGTGAATATTATTAATAATGGATCTATACCAGCGATCAAAATACAAATGTTAAAATTATTGGTTATTGGCATTATCTTTATAAAACAAAATCGGTGCCTCCCGGTGTACCACTAGAGGGAGCCTGCATACCGCACTTTGAGAACCAAGGATCTAGTGCAGGGGTGGGCAGTCTTATCCAGAAAGGGCCACTGTGTATGTGGGTTTTCACTGCAACTCCCTAATTAGATTACCAATTAGAGGACTGATTGGCTGAATAGTCCTGACACCTGGGTTTGTACAGCTGACCTAAAGGTTACCCCAAAATCCTGCATATACAAGGGCCCTTTACGGATAAGACTGCCCACCCCTGGTCTAGTGCATTATCAGTCTGGGGCAGTGGACACAGACCTTCCAGGTCACGGCATTCAGACGTCAAAAGTTCATGTAAAATCCATGCAAAAATACTTGCTAACTGGCTCCCACTGCATGACAAAATAAAACTGATGGTTACTTATGGTCAGTTGGTAAAAAGAGATCCTGACCCACTACCTCTCCTTTATTTGGTTGTTGGGAAGAGGGCTACACTTGTTCATATCTGTAGGGACCCGTTCCTTGGCTATAGAGTTTCAGCAGTTCTTCAGAAGAAAAAGTTTTTGTGCTTAATCAGTCTAATCATGATAATGATAAGATTTGCAGGTTGGATTCAGGTGTTTTCTATTTGTAATATGTGTGTTAATTGATATTGTTTTTCCCACTCTCTGTATTTATGGTTTCTGAAACTGAATGACTGGAGAAGAAAGGACCAAGGTTTTGTAACGGCCAAGTCAAAGTGCAGCCCTCAAACCCACTGAGATGCTGTTCCAGGACCAAAATTCCTCCTAAGTGATGTGAGAAACTGAGACTCGCACATTAAACGATTACTTCATGTCATTGCTGCTTCTCCATCTTCGCCGTATTCCATGTTATAGAAATAATAAGTGGATTTTGTTATGTGTTGCAGTTAGATTTACCTGATATTATGGTATATTAACACCATATGTTTTGTTATGTTCTGATATATAAATCCACAGAAGTGAAGAAATGGTGCAGTTTCTTCACTTCTTCATCTCACTCTGCCTGCCAAGGGACTGAGTAGTGAAAGGTGCTCTTAATGGGTCATCACAGTCTGTGTTGGCCTTGCACTGAATATGTCTTAATTAGTATATGAAAGGCCCCTCCTTGGATTGCCACCTTATCGTGGTGGAGGGGTTTGCGTGCCTCAGTGACCCTGGGGGCTATGTTGGATACCCGGGAGGGCCTCAGAGTAGAACCGCTGCTTCTTCACGTCGAAAGGAGCCAGTTAAGGTGGTTTGGACATCTGGTGCGGATGCCTCCTGGGCGGCTACCCGGAGAGGTTTTCCATGCATGTCCTACAGACAGACCCAGGACTCGCTGGAGGTATTATATCTCTCGGCTGGCCTGGGAACGCCTCGGCGTCCTCCCCGAGGAGCTGGTAGAGGTAGCTGGGGAGAGGGAGGTCTGGGTATCTCTCCTGAACCCCAGAACAAGTGGCAGATAATGGATGGGTGGATAGTATATGAATGGAGGTTAATTTTTTCATCTACCAGCAGGTTTTCTGTAGTTGTCACTCATTCTGATCTTCTTTCTGTGTTTTTGAGAGGTCTGATTGTGTCTGGCAGAGATGGGACATTCAGGTCCAGAAAGAACAAATCCAGACCAAGGTTTTGTTTCAACAAAGAGGTTGTGTATAAAGAGTCACAGTCACAGAGTATTCTGCTGATTGGTTGAAACAAAACCTTGGTCTGGATTTGTTCTTTCTGGACCTGAATGTCCCATCTCTGCCAGACACAATCAGACCTCTCAAAAACACAGAAAGAAGATCAGAATGAGTGACAACTACAGAAAACCTGCTGGTAG